AAGATAGGTCTATCATAGACACAGAAAACAAACTGATGGCTGCCAGATTGGAGGAGGGTTGGGGGGCTGGGTGAAAAAGGTGAAGGGATTAAGAAATACAATTGGTAGTTAAAAAAATAGTCACAGGGATGTAAACAATAGAATAGGAAATATAATCAGTAATATTGCGACAACTATGTATAGTGCCAGGTGGGTACTAGACTAAACCAGGGAACCACTGCATAAATTATATAAATGTCTAACCACTATGCTGCCCACCTGAAACTAATATAATATTGACTGTCAACTGTAATAGAAAAAAATAATTAAAATAAATAGTTCTGGTCAAGATGGCAGGATAAACACTGTGCTTACTTTCTCTCATGAGCACATCAAAATTACAACTAAACTACAAAACCACCATTATTGAGAGTCACCTGATATCTTGCTGAACCAAAGCCCTACAACTAAGGACATACAGAAGAAGCTACCTCAAAGCTAGTAGAAGAGACAGAGATACAAAACGGGTTAGTTCCACACCCACGTGTGACCATTAAAAATCAGGAGGGATATCTTGGCTGCAGAGGTCCCCCCCTAAAGGAGCAAATGGTCCCAGTGACACACCAGGCTCCCCAGACCAGAGTTCCAGTGTCAGGGGGAGAAGTCCCCATAATTTCTGGTTGTGAAAAGGAGCAGCGATTGTGGCTGAGCAAGACGGAGGGCAGCTGACATCCCAGGTACCTCTCTGAAAGGTACCACACATAAACTTACTCGTTGATGGACTCACTCACTCACTCTGAGCTCCAGCACTGGGGCAGCAGTTTGAAAGGCACCAGGGACATACGGGGAGGACTGAATTGTCTGACTTCATGGCAAGGGCTGGAGGGGCAGCTTTCTCCCAAACGGAGCAGCTGGTGGAAGCTGTTCTTTCTTTGTTGAGCCCTCCCCCTTTCTGCGTACATACTCACGTAGACCTCATATCTGAGTCTCCATCCAACTGGCTATTACAGTCGTCTGCCCCGCCTTAGTGATCCCCTGAGACCACATCTCACCCAACTTTCAGGCACACCCAAGCCGCTTCCAATGGCTTCTCTGTATTAACGGCCTGTCTTGGCTCATGCTGCAGACTTTCCTAACATCTCTCAAAGGTTAATAAAACCCAAACAAGCAGCATCTGGCTTGAGCATGTCCTGCACCCCTGGCTGAGTAGCCCTAAGCCCGGCACTAGTGGCAGCTGGGTTTGGTTTGAGGCTTGGCTTCTTGAGGCACTTCCAAACTTCCAAACATGGCATGGGTTGTGGCCATCTGTGTATTGCTTTGTGGCTCCTGCTGGGTGGCCCCAGATGGGGCACAGGCTGCAGCTGAACTTGGCCTGCAGCTGGTCCCCTCCCAGGTGGCCCTGGGGCTGATGCACTCAGTGTCCAGCTTCAAAATGAGCTGGAGCATCACCCGGCCACCTCCAAGGATGACACACCAAGGCGTGGATTAGGCAGGCACCAGAGCCTTGCGGAGGCAGATCCTGCTGGGTAGGGTCAGCCCCTACACCACAACTCCTCCACTGTAGTTACAGCCAGTCCTCACAACCAATGAGCCCAAGGGTCAGTCCCTCCCAGTGACATGCAAATAGCAACCAAGGCTTAACTACGAGGAGGGCCCACACAACTCACATAAGGGACACATGTGGAATGTATGGCTCAGGTGACCAGGAAGCCTGCACCATTGAGCCCCACAGCACACCTACTACATAAGGCCACTCTACTAAGACCGGAAAACAGAGCAACCCTACCTAATACACAGAAGCAAACACAGGGAGGCAGCCAAGATGGAGAGACAAAGAAACATGTCACAGATAAAAGAATAGAACAAATCTCCAGAAAAAGAACTAAACAAAATGGTGACAAGCAATCTACCGGACACAGAGTTCCAAACACTGATTATAAAGATGCTCAGTGATCTCCGGGAAAACTTCAACAGAGAGATAAGAGCATAAAAATGGAGATGAAAACCATGAAAACGAACCAGTCAGAAATAAAGGATACAATAATGGAAATGACGAATATATTACAGGGAATCAACAGTAGATTAGATGAATCAGAGGATTGCTTCAGTGACTTAGAAGATAAAGTAGCAGAAGACACCCAATCAGAACAGAAAAAAAGAAAAAAGGATCCAAAAGTTGAGGAAAGTTTAAGGGACCTCTAGGACAATATCAAGTGTACCAACATTCACATCAAAGGGATACAGAAGGAGAAGAGAGGGAGCAAGGAATTGAAAACCTATTTGAAGAAATGACAGAAAAGTTCCCTAACCTGGTGGAAAAAAATGGATATCCAAGCCCAGAAAGAGCAGAGGGTCCCAAACAAGATGAATCCAAAGAGGCCACACCAAGACACATCATAATTAAAATGCCAAATGTTAAAGTCACAGAAAGAATCTTAAAAGCAGTAAAAGAAAAGCAGTTAGTTACCCACAAGGGAGCTCCCATAAGACTGTCAGCTGATTTCTCAACAGAAATTTTGCTGGCCAGAAGGGATTGGCACAAAATATTCAAAGTGATGAAAAGCAAGGACCTACAACCAAGATTACTCTAACCAGCAGAGCTACCATTTAGCTTTGAAGGACAAAGAAAGAGTTTCCCAGACAAGAAAAAGCTAAAGCAGTTCATCACCACCAAACCAGTATTACAAGGAACCAGTACTACAAGGAACCTATTTAAGATGAAAAAAAAATGAATAAAATATTCATAATTACAAATTACAAACCTATCAACAATTACTTTCAATGTAAATGCTTTAAATGTGCCAACCAAAAGATATGGTGTCTGAATGAATAAGGAAAAAAAAAAAAGCCCTTACAAATGATGCCTACAAGAGACTCACTTTGGATCAAAACACACACAGACTGAAAGTAAAGGGAAGGGGAAAAGACATTTCATGAAAATGGAAACAAAACAAAAAGCTGCAGTAGCAATACTTATACCAGACAAAATAGACCTTAAACAAAGACTATAACAAGAGACAAAGAAGGACCTAGTAACCCACTTTGGGTATTTATTCAAATAAGAAGAAATCCAAAACACTACCTTGAGGGAGTGTGCTCATCCATAGGATCATCGCAGCATTATTTACAATAGCCAAGCTATGAAGGAAACCTGGATGTCCCTGAATGGGTGAATGGATAAAGAGGTGGTACATACATACAATGGAATATTACTCAGCCATAAAAAAAGAATGAAAATCTCATCATCTGCAACAACATGGATTGACCTACACGGTATTATGCTGAGTGTAGTAAGTCAGGCAGCAAAAGACAAATGCCATATGATTTCACTTACAAGTGGAATCTAAAGAACAAACTAAACAAACAAAACAGAAACAAACTCATAGATACAGAGAACATTTTGAAGACTGCCAGATGGGAGAGGGGTTGGGGTGAGTGAAAAAGGGGAAGGGATTAAGAAGTACAAATTGGTTGTTACACAGTAGTCATGGGGATGTAGAATATAGTGTAAGAAATACAGTCAATAATATTGTAATAACTGTGTATGGTGTCAGATGGGCACTAGATTTATCAGGGTGATAGATGGGAGGGTTTAGAGGCAGGGTGAAAAAGGTGAAGAGATTAAGAAATACAAATTGGTAGTTACAAAATATTCATGGGGATGTAAAGTAAAGCATAGGGAATATAATCAATAATATGGTAACAGCTCTGTGTAGTGGTACCAGGTGGGTACTAGTCAGGGGGATCACTTCGCAAATTATATAAATGTCTAACCATTATGCTGTATGCCCAAAATTAATATAAAATAATATTGAATGTCAACTTTATTTGAAAAAGTAAAAAGGGAGGGAGGAGATAAAGGGGAATAAGAGGTTCAAAATTCCAGGTATAAAACAAACAAGTCTTAGGGATGTAATCTACAGCATCGGGAATATAGTCAATAATACCATAATAGCATGGTGTGGTATCAGATGGTTGCTGGACTTAGCATGGTGATCACTTCTTTAGCATAGGGAATATAATCAGTAATATGGTAATAATTATGTATAGTGCCAAGTGGGTAATGTTGAATAACTATGATGCACACCTGAAACTAATATAATATTGTATGTTAGCTATATTTTAATAAAAATTTTAAAAAATACTTAAATAAATATTTGTCTGTTGTCACTCCTCCTTCACATTCTCTCTTGGACCTACCCCCATCCACTTGATCCCCTCTTCTCATGTTTAGAACAACATCCACCTTGACCAACTCAATGGGTCACTTCTCAGTGCCTATTTACTTGACCTAACAACAGCATTTTACCTAGAGGCCTACTCATTACCCTTCATGAAAGTCGTAAAAGACTTTCTTTCCTTGGCTTTGGGAGCCTAAACTCTCTCTTGGTTTCCTTCTACCTCAATACTCTAGTCACCATTGAAAAATTAACTGGATGCAGTAAGGTGCTTTAAAAAGATAAACAGTTTCTTGAAATACCTGGCGCCCACTAGTAAATTGTGATCACAGATTTCTTCAGCTTTGAAACCAAAAATTGTGCTTTATTATTTTACTCCTAAGGATAAATTCAGATAATCTAAAATGGAAATCAAATATACGTTCCCAATTTTTTTAAAACAAGACCTTTTCTGCTGAAAAGTTGCAGTTTACAAAAAGTTACCTTTTGCTAGAAACCCAGTTTCATTGGCTCACAAGCCTTCTATACAACCAGAAACATCACAATGGATTTTTCAGACTTGCTTTGAAGACTAAGAAACACGTTACTTACCAGCTTATCATTTCAACATGTATCAGTCGTTATAAAGTAGAGGAACTTTAATCTAGCGTTTTGTCCAGCTTCTATAAGAGACACTGTCAGATAATTTGAGTAATACAAACAGGTAACACACAAGATTGAAGTACTATAATTGTATTGCTTTTCAAATGAAACAATTTCCATATATTCAAATCAGTTTTAATTGTTCTAAATAACTGTTGTAGATAACTTTTACTGCTGTTGTTTTGGTTGTTGTTGAAATAAATTTTTTCAGTACGCAAATGAAATGGTCAGCTCCTGGAAAAGGGGTACAGATATCCATAAAATGGTTTTCTGTAACAGATGAGAGAAGAAGTAAATTAGCAAAAGTAAATCAATATAAAGAAACTTAGCTACAGTTGAAGTTATTGGAATTACGATGCTATAAAAATAATCAAATGTTATCAATTGTTAAGGGATAACTTTTAAATATACATTACATATATAATTTATCTAATATATAGTATATATTGGAGGAAATTACAGTTTTTAAGTGATTCACAGACTCTAACAATATTAGTCTACACAATCCTCCAATTAACTTACTTTATTTAAAAGGGATCTTTGCATCCTACAGAACTTTATTATTTAAATTTTTCTGAGATTTTTTTCTCTTATTTAAGATCAGCCACATGCATACATGAAAACAAAATTTGTAAAACTAATTTCTCAACAGAGGTGTTTTCATTTTATTTCTTGACTTAATCAATCACTTTTCATCTATCCGGAACTTAGAAAAGAGAGAGTACAGAGGGAAAAGGAAGGGCAGCTTAGGTTTCCTGTCACTTAGTTGCTAACTGTATGTCACTCTATGACACTGTTTCTTCTTCTCTTATAAAATATCTGGATGATAACATTGGCCACACATTCCCATTCCCAGGAGTATGGTGAGAATCAAACAGACTCGTGTTGCTAAAAGTCCTCTGTAAATTATAAAACTTTAAATAAAGAATATTATGATTAAGATATCCAACAAGTTACTTGGCCAAACTTCCCAGATTGAAAATTAGAGAGGTGTAAGTTTTGCATAGACTATTATTCAAATGACCTTGTTATCAATTAGCTCTTAATTTTAAATAAAGAAATGAAAATTCAGTATCTTAAGCTCTGTGTCTCTGCTCTGTATAAGTATTAAAAACTATTCTGTTATATTATGTGATAGGGTTTTAGAAACGCAATGAGAGCTTCGGAGGCTCTGAAATCTATAGACGCATCCTCCTATTATAAGGGCTTGCTGTCTATTCTGCCTGCTATTATATTCTTCAGGGGTGAGGACCATGTCTTGTATCTATAAGCATATTTTTATTGCAAATACACACTTCCAATCTTAGTAGGAGCTCAATAAATAAATGTTTAATTTCCAAATGGAACAGAGTAGAAGGAAAAAGCCATGAAATGTCAGGAGTTTCAAGGTCAAGACTCAGTTCTGTCAATTATTAAAAGTATGTGGCCTTGATAAGTCACTTTACCTGACTGGGTGCTCAGTTTTCTCATCTGTTAAACGAAGGAACTGAAATATAGCCCTTCCAGAACCTTTCCACTTCCAATTTTCTATAAACTTTATTCTCATTTATTTTAGCCACCCATCTTATCCTTCCTTTATGTCATTATACATTTGCCAAGGAACACACCAGCCTTTGCATGGTATCGTTTGTGACATTTAATCCAACAAAGTTTCTAGCCCTGACACAGGCATACTTTTATCTAGAAATATAACTCTTTGCTAAGTGTTCTTCCTTGAGTTTAAGAAATATGCAAGTTGTTATTTCAGAAATGTGATCTGTGTTTTTTGCAAGGAAGCAACATTCAGGGAAAATTCAATTATTAGCACTTGAGATTTAATAAGAAAAATTTGTCTTTTAAGTCAATAGTGCTTGACTCTTACCCCATTGGAATTATACTGTATTCTGTTGCTTGGGATGGTTTCTCCATTCATAAAAACAACATTTGGCTTTGAAGTGAAACCAAGAACCTGAATAGTGTCATATGCCAAAGTCGCAATTCCATGGTAACCATTTTTAATCACAGTTGCTTTTAGAGCTTTCTGTTGTTAAGGAGAGAAAAGAATTTTAAGCAAATGAAGGCAATACATAGAAGCTTACAGCACAATGTGGACTGGAGAATGGCCAATACTTTGAAATACTTCTTATTTTTCAAATCCCTTATAACACATTTTTCTTCATAAAAATGAACTATTATGTCACAACAAATACTGAATGTTTAAACTTACATTGCTGAATTGGTACTCAACATAGAAGTACTCTTCCCTTTCAATGGAATCTGCAAAATAAGTATTCATATTAGAAAATAAAGGTCAATTTTACCTTTTAATATTTTTAAAATTTAAATTCTGATCAATAAAATTCCAAGTCCATAAGGTCTTGCCTAAGTCTTGTACTTGGAATCCTCTAAATAATCTAGCAATTGCTGGGCAAAAAACAGTCGAATAATCACTGGCCTCAAAATTATATTTTTCATGATGCTCTTTGGAAAAACAAAAAAAAGTTAATCTATTTTTAAATAGGCCTTATCATACCATGCCTCCCACTTTTTCCCTCATTTTTTATCCTTCCTTTATATGGAAAACTAGAGAGAAAAGAGTTTTGTTTTAGACATATTTTCAACACTTTAATTTGGTAAAGAGGAATATAGCATAATGACTTTATAGACAACCTCCTCCCATGTATCTATTGTCCATATACATAAACTCAAAGTTACAGACATATCTATTTACCTTTCTCCCCAGCCCCCAATATTTTTTTTTTCAGTTTCAATCCCTGCCCTCTAAAATTTAAAAGTAATCTCTTTCAAATGTTAGAGATTTAATCAGTGCTTCCTGAGGTAATTTACTGAAAAAAAAAAGAAAAAAGACCCAAGAAAATGCTGATTATCATGAAAATACAGGCATTCACAGCCTCTGTATCGTCTTCTTAATTTCTGCCACAGAAGCAACCAGTCATATTGTCTATATGTAAGATTAGGAGTGTATCTTCCTATTTATCTTTTCTACCTTCTCATCTTCCTCATGAAAATGATTCTCCTGTCTTTCCTGCTTATGAAAGAGGGGTAATAAAGAAAGATGGATGTAAAGTCAACTAATACGGGGACAGAAGAAATGTTCTTAGCAGTAACCCCATAGGCATTATAATCTCTGTGGGTTAGTGCCCATTTCCTTGAAAACCCATTTCTGATTTTTTAAATGTGGCTATTTTGAATATATTTATCATATATGGTAAGCACTTATCTTCTTAACAATGTAATCATTTCTATTGTTCCTGGGAAAGCCTTTTCTACACTTTGCTGATCTATGAGATTAGACTGAAGTAGAAAATGAGAATAAGAAATAAATAAATAAGCAAAACTATTGATATTGTGCCTTAACCAACTAAGTCTTGACCCCTTTTCTCAGTTCAAGCTGTACCTCTTCCTCTATTATCCATCATTCTTCAAATGATGGTCCATGTCTCCTCATCATAGAATCTCAGCAGTTCTTCCTTCCGTTAGCCTAACAGCTACACCACCAGAGCCAAGTTCTTACAAATTTCCACTGAAAGTTTGATTCCTTAAGACTGGAATTTCTACCCCTTCCAAAGTGAGAATAAATTAATGAGAAAAATTTTATTTTAGCTTACTAATAAGATAAATGCTCTCCCCTCTCAGGTAACCATAGTGTAATTTGTTAGCACCTTCCTGGAGATAATGTATAAGTATAACTTATTTTGTTAACACCATCTTGGAGATATTGATCTCACCTGTGTTGCGTTACCCAAAGGAGTGGCCAGATCTGAGGAAAATTTCAAGTTCTTGAACAGTAACATTGAGGAAAGCAGAATCTCGCCATGGTGTCCATTTTATCTTACTTTATTGGTATAAGTCTCCAATTTTTAATTTTATGTAAAGTCATATTAAAATCCAGACTATTTCAACTGTTGTACATGTTGGTCTACTTACCAATAGAATCACCATCATCCCAGAAAAGGGAGCCAGAAGCTTCTCCCTGTTCATCTAGAGCAATTATGAGGCTGAAAGGATTCAGACGGCTATAAAAAATAAAAATAAAAATTATACTTTCAGAGTTAGAAGGACCTAAAGACAAACATCTCATGGAACTGCCTAGAAAAATATTAAGTCCTTTCTTAAACATATTTACCAAATTTTCACTTAATTTATCCTTGAATACCTCCAGTATAGGAAACTTAAAACATTCTTAAGGAGGGCTGGCTGAGTGGCTCAGTTGGTTAAGAGTTGGCTTAAGAGCACAAGCTCTGAGCAGCAGGGCTGCCAGTTCGATTCCCACATGGGCACATGCTGGACCCGAGCTGAGCTGCCGCTGAGCTGCCAACAGGTGGCACGATGGCTCAGCTGGTGAGAGCACATGCTCCCAACAAGACTGCCTGTTCGATGGTGGGCTACGCCTGCCTGCAGCTAGGACTGAACTCGGCACCTTAAGCTGAGCTGCCGCCCAGATGGCTCAGTGGCTAAAGTATGTGCTCTTAACAATGCTGCTGGTTCAACAAACAACAACAATAAACAAACAAACAAAAACATCCTTAAGCAATCTCTTTCTGTTCTGAACAGCTCAATATGGAAGAGTGGTAGGGGTGGGCAGTGATTGCAATAGCCCAGGCCTCTTACATGCATTCCACTTGGGAAAAGTAAAGGTTTTAATAAAGTGATAAAATAATTATTATACAATAATTGAAGGTGCACCCCTCAGTTTCTTTGGCTTGTCTACAACGAAGAAAAAGTTATAATAAAATTGCCAGAGTCATTGGATCTGGGAACCTGGGAGCTGGTTTTAAAGTATGATAAATGGGATTCCAGGGAAATGAAGCTTCAATAGTAATTTGGAGAGTCTGCTCTGCTGGGTCGTCTTAACATCTCAGGAACAAGGATGCCAGAACCTATATGACCTGTTTTGTGATTGCACAATGGAGACAAAACTCAAGGATTTGATCCTAACCACTTGGCAACAGAAAATTGCATACTGAGAAAAGAACTGCACAGTGTAAGTGATAAAACAATCTTACTTTTGAAGAAGTTCAGTTACAGTGAGAATTCCTTAAGAAAAATATTTTCGTTTTATATCTTTATTTCATTAAATTTTTTCTATTGAAATGAAAAGTTAGGCATGGGGCCCTCTCTTCTTGGCAATGAACAATAATATACTAACTTAAAATCAAATTAATCTAAATTTTCAAATCAGTGCTTGGAAACTATAGATCTAGTATGTAATTCAAGGTGTCCCCAGGGAGTTCTCAGTATTTCAAAAATGTCTAGCCAAAACTTCTCTCTAATAATGGTGCATATTTTTAGCTGATTTTACTTTCAACTAATGCTGATTAAAGGTTCTTATTTGCTATTATGAATCTTTGATATAAACTAGAAATATAAAGTAATTATTACTGCTTAAAAATCTGCTTGTTTGCTAGACAAAATCTTTGATTACATATCTATGGAGGAAAAGAAAGGCTAATTAAATATAACCTAAATGGATAAAAGCACAAGGATCCTGACCTAGCCTTCATATAAAACCTTGGAGAGAATGCATGAATTCAAAATCACTGGCTGTCTTCAAAATGATAATGTGGAGATATTTAGGGCAAGATATTTGAGCTGGTTCAAATATTCAAGGATATCATCTAGTAACCTTTCTCACTCCTTTTTTCTTCTCTCCTTTTCCTCTCTCATATACACACATGACCACACTGATTCACACGAACACATATACAAACCCACACACAGACCAGAAATTAATTGCACTACTGATCGAGCCCTCTCCTATCATTGGCCACCTACTCACAAACATCCCTACCCTCCTCAGACACTCTCAAAGCAGGAAGTTTGACTACAACAGGAAGGTCAAATCCCTAACTCAGTGTGAAGTCTCCTAACAGGATGTGCCTGTTACCTCAGCTCTGTTGTTCTGGCTGGAAACTGTGTTGGCAGAATATATCCTCCACGGATGAAAAGAGGAATGATATCCAGAGGAGCAGGAACGTCAACAAACCTCCTCTTCCATGAGACTGGTACATGGCTCCCCTAGCACAGAACAAGCCAGAGTTAAACACTCCAATTACATAACTCGTAACAAATAATACATTTCAGGAGACATGGGAAGTTAATATCCAAATTTCTGCTTGAATTCAACAAACTACCCATGGATTCATTAACAGGAAGGGTGATTTAAATGTCTATATCAGCGTTTAAAAAAAACCCCACAAAAAACCTACATAAACTCCAGCATGTAAAGCACATGAACTTATTTCAGAAGTTCAACTTTATAACCACATTTACTTACTAAAAAGTTAAACTAGAATATAAATTAACATGACATTGGGCTCCATAGAGTTAAACTTTGATGTAGTAGCACTTTTGTGTGAGCATTTTTATTACTCTCTTCTTAAAAGTTCAATTTTATTAAGAAATGAAATTTAATGCAACTATTTAAGGAAATTTATGAAGCATGTCGGCAGAATATAGTATGAAACCCATTGGTTTAATTGTTTAAGATACTATAATAATCTGATTACAAGGTGGAGAATTCTTAATAACCACTTAACCAGTCACAGCTAACTGATAATTTGAAAATAGGTCACATATCCTTTCTTCCAATTTAGGATTAGTCCCGTTTATCGTCAAAACTTATTCCCATAAAAATTTCTTGAAGACTGGGTGAGATTAGCCAATGCTCATCTAAACATACTAAAAGAATGGGAGACGTGAACTCAATTAAAATAGCTTCTCTAGAGATGTCACATTTCTTCCCCTCACATTCTACCACCCTCCTCCATCATGGAGACCATAGCTCCCACTGACCAGGAGACTAGGTAGAAAAAATGAGGTAGATCAATATTATATTTTTGGAGAACCTGAACTATAAAATAGGGAAATAACCTGCCACTTATCACAAAGGATGTATTAAAATATAAGTCCATTAGAAGCTGAGACCCTTTAGAAGTCAGTTGTTAATAAAACAAAAATGGTCCCATGGAATTCTGAGTCCTGAACACTGGGCTGAAATTTCAGACTTTTGCGACTGAATCCTGAATTTCTCTAGGAAATCCAGGGCTATTACAGTTGCTGCTTTTAGATTTCTATATGATTTCTTTCATCAGTTCATGTATACATACCCCCATAATAAAACCCATACTTGAGCTAGCTTGAATGGGTTTCTATTTCTTTAAGATAAAGTATCTGATTCATGGTTGACAACCTCTATTTCACAGTGCTATAAAGAACCATCACTATGGAGAGTTATATGCTTTTAAGAATTTAAATGTTTGCATAAAATAAATGTCTACTCTTCTTCTAAAATAATTCATTCCATCTCTCACCTTAAATATTTGTCTATCTATACATGGCCTAATTATACTATTTTGAGAAGAGTAAACAGTTGTAACCAAAGGGTTTCAGAAAGACCTAAGTTATCAGAATTATACAGTCCAAGACTCTACAAGTCATATAAAAACAGTGAAAAAGAGACCATATAAATCTCTGAGTTCATGGGTTTATATATTTTTTTTCTATAAAATGTCCAAAATACATACTGTATAAAAGTCAAACCAGGATGCTTCAGGGAAATACACATCCACAGATCTTGCTCCCTTTGAAAAGAGAAAACATTTTACTTTTCAAAATATTTTGTTGAATTAAAATGTTCCAGTAAAAATATATTCAGCTCTCTGGATATTGAATCCTATCTTATTTAACACTAAAACCAAGTGCTAGTCAACTCATACATGATTATTTATGCAAGACAGCTAGAGAATCTCCATGAAACACAAGTGATCTATCAGAATATATGTTTCATGTCTAGATTACAGCATTTTAATGTACACTGTTGATAGTGTTTTCTCAAGAACCTAATTGGATTTGCTATATTTCAAAATATTAACTTTCAATCCAATGTAGATATACTAACCATACAATTACTTTGTGTCATTTTACCTAATGGCAATTGTGAAATTATTAAAAAATGTAAAATATGAAATACTTATCAATTTATTTAAAAACTTTTTTGAGTTCTTACTAAGTACAGGTCACTTGTTCTTGTGTATGTTATATATATATATATATATATTTTTTTACGTATGTTATATATACACAGGGTGCCAAAAACAGTATACACATTTTAAGAAAGGAAAACTGTATTAAAATTGTAGTAATCAATATATACCGATAACAGAAGATGAATACAAGTCACATTTGACTTCTGCAATTACAAGAGGTGCTCAAAGTGGTTACCATCAGTGTCAAGACACTTCTGATTACTGCGAACTACTGCTTGAGCAACGTTGTCCAAAGTGTCCACTTGTATACATTATTTTGGCACCCCCCAGTATACACTGTGTGTGCATGTGTGTGTGTGTGTATGTGTACCTATGTTATATGGTATGTGTTTGTGTGTGTGTGTGTTTAGATAGAGTTGTGGCATAGTCAAGAACAATCCAGAAATACAGAAAATAGTTGCTTTGAAGAATCCCAGAAAAGCCCAATTTCAGGTCTTCTGTAACTGTGACAAGTTCATCAAATTTAGACAAAGTCGACACAGCAAACAGGCAGCCTTGAACTTATTTTTTCTATCACTGTGGATTCTAATATTTGGTACTGAAAGTTTGCACAGATTTGTTGTCAAAGCATCCTCATGACAGCTATCCTGTCTATTCTCCTGCACAAGTGGCTTTCACCCCCAATTCTCTCAGATTACATTCATGTTATCCCTTCCCCTTGTGACTACAGTATAGATAAGACAACTATCTGGAGGACAAAGATAAATGGATCTGATTCAGGAATTGGGGTTTATTTGAAAAAGGCTAATGAAGCAACTCATGTTCTTAGAATAGGTTTCCTTGCAATTACATTGGCATAGGTGGACAAAGGGCTCTGTTTCGGTTCTTTTTAATGTGGCATATATTTGGGAGTCAATATCTTCCTCCTGCAAATCATCTTGAAAACAAATTCAGAATCTCTGAATAGCAAAAATATTTTTTCAGTTTTGTTGAGATTTACTTAACATGAAGTACATTTTATATAACATAAACATATAAATACATTGTTTTCAAATAAAAGAATGAAAATGGTGTAAGAAAAATAGGAGACCATGGCAAGCCTGGACTGGTTGTAAGTATCAAATGGCAGCACTATAAACTGATGTGAATACTTATATTGTGCTGATATGAAATTCCAGTACCTACCTCTTCGAGAACCGGAGCAATCATTAAAGCTGGCCCCCAAAGGAATGCTCTGTCAATTTCCTGAGCCTGAGGATCTGAAGTAAATCTAGAGTTTTAGGGTGAGAAACCATTAATTTCATCAAATTAATGTCTTTGTATGAGTAACTAACATCTTAGCCACTTCAGGCTCATGGTGACAACAAAAAGAAAACCAAAAAAGATAAAAACCGGGTTTAGGGTACAAGCAGTGTTTTCGGAATAAAATCCAATCATCAGGGGAAGCAATTGGAATCAGTTGTCTTCCCTGACTGAAAGATAAATGAGCATTAAAGCTAAGGTCACAATAATGCCAAGTAATCAAATTGTCTAAGTTTCTGTTGTTCCCTTTTGCAACATAAACAGCCTTTAAGGATTTGGTGTCAATCCTACCTCCTTCATAAAGCTGTCCCTGCTTCATTTAACATGGACATTGCCTTTCTTGGAATTTTTATAGCACTTTTTAAAGCATTTTATAGCCTATACCACACAGACAGGATATAAATGTATAATGTTCTATATTATATTCTATTTTTTAAAAAGCTGTTATTTGCAATCTTCCCAGTTCTCTGTGGGCAGGGGGCATGGTCATTCTTTTTTCTATATTTCACGTTATTTAGACAGCAAGACACAGCCTTTTCTCTTGTTAAGTGATTGAAAATATTTTCTTAACTAAATTCTTCAAATCTGCAAATTATTTCTAATCATAGTCAGTGGGGGGAAAACAACTGATTTGCCTATTTCTTTTTCTCCTAAATAATTCCGTTAGTAGGAGAATCCAGGCTTCTAGAATCTATGTGGTAGAAAATCTAAAACTAGAACAATTATGAAATGTGATTTACTCATGCATCAATCCGCGGACCACTGTATTTCCACTGACATGAGCATGGTAGAAGAGGGTGTATAAGTAAGGCAGTAATAAGTATCTAATCCGTAATGCAGAACGGGAAATTTCAGCAAACTCTTCTCCAAAGGCCCCAGGGTCTTGTTCCTAGAAAAGAGAAACATTTCAATAGATTTATTACCTGAAGAGGGAATTTTTAAGTGTAATTTTTTTTTTTCTCTTTGGAGGCCCTAGAGAGGAGCAGAGCATTTTAAAGATACTGTTTCTCTCTGCTTGAAAGCCTTTCACAGGTTATTGCAGACTTGTTTCTCAATTAAATAGATTCTATAAAGTTTACATATTATAGTGTGTAATAAATAGTTTGTATGCCCGCTCACAACAAAGTTTCAAATCGTTCCTACTCAAAGGTCATCACAATACCTTCTCCTCAAGAGAGAGAGCAAATTTACAGCCATTGACTGAGGAATGATGTTGCCTTCAGACTGAAGAGAGACTCCTCTGTCACATTATACTATAATAGTTGCCTGCCATCAAAACAAAAACTTGAAATTTGGTAGATTATGAGTACTAAGGAAGGATTACTACACATTTCATAGGTTTGTCTGCCGCTACCTTGTGTTACAAAGGCAAAATTTGTTCCCAGAATATTTAAAACGATGCAATGTACTCCCTCTTTTAGAAAATATAAACAATGCATTTTTAAGGACAATTTTAGGAAAGCTACTTCTCCAACATTTATTTCTTATTATTCTCTCACAGTTTTTGATAAAATCAGTAACATGTACTTTTTTTAAAAACCCAATCACATATTTCAACAGCTACATTGAAAACAACAGTTTGATTTTTTTAATTCATATTTTTATGATTATATTTATATATTTTCTAGCCCCAGTTCCTAAATACAGGTTAATACTGAATATAACAGTTGTCATCTTACATTAACTTTCACTCACCTTATTTCCAATTGCATTATGGTTTCTGGAAAAGGGATAAAATGCCCCAAGTTGCATCCAACGGAGGCAAAGTTCGTAAGTTGTCTCTTCGTTAAAGCCACATATATCAGCTCCAATCTGGGGAAAGATTTTCATGATTTCAAAATATATCACTAATTTAACCATAAAACCCACAATGAAATATTTCAGATTATGCTATTTTTAATGACACACATGTTTAAGACCAAAAAGATACTGTTTTCATGATGTGGGATCTAAAAGTGTAAAAATGCTCTTGGAGAAGAACATTTGCAATAAAATAGTGACAAGTCCCTCTTGTCCAGCCTTGATTAAAGGAAAACTACGGGCTACATTGTGGTATAAAAAAGGAGTCTTTTTGGGTAACCCAACATACCTACAAATGCTGTTTTATTTCCCAAGTACAGTATTGTAAATTTCCTGTCTCAATATGAAAGTTAAAGACATAGAACATTTAGCTAATCCAAAACCTTAAGTGGCTAACCACTCAGGCTGGAAAAAAAAAAGGGCCCACGAATAGTGCACCCGACTATACTCTCCTTTTTATCACATAACGGCACAGATACTTTGTTTTCTGACATCTAATGAAGGCCTTTTTCAGTCTTCAAATTGTTTATTCCACAGCCCCTCTTGTTCTCTCAGAAATGTAATCTTTAACCCCAAAACTCGATTAATGTCATAGTTTGTAGGCTAAGAAGTGATGACAAAGTAAAGCATGGAGTCATAAAACATGTCATTTGTAGTTAAAATGTTAGTCTTCTAAACCACGGAGGCTGTGATCTACATTCCACTACTAAAACTCTAAAATCTTCGGTGCAGAAAGACCAGGTCATACTCCTTTCCTCTCTAAGACTGCTTATATTATATTATAAGTTTTGCCTCTGTCACTTTCTGATCCAGACAAAACTTGGTGCTATATTTCATTTTCAATATTTATTTAACCAATTCCTCTTTGAAAGTACCTAATCCATCACTTGAACAACAAATGCAATTCTCACTAAATTTGAAAGTGTCCAACAATTTTATTTGCAGCTTTCTAAAATAAAATAAATATTGCTCTGTATTTTTTCTTGTAAAAAGTCATAGGCATATGGGGAATCTGCTACAATAAAACTTTTGAATTTGTTAACATACCAGCAAAGTCTTTAATAGCTAAATCGTTTATCACAAGGGCTCAGATGAGGAAGTGTTTTGCTGTGTGTTTGGAGTATTTTGTTGGTTTAATTTCACTTCCTCCCTTAATAGAAGATGCAGACACCGCTGGGTAAATTTTCTATCCCTCCTTGTCACATCTTTTTTCACTCATTATCTATAAAGCTCATAATAATAGGTTGTAGAAGAGTTGTGGATGGGATAAGGGAATATAGGTGAATGAAAGAGAAAATAAACTTTTCCAGTTTTACCATGACTAAGTGTCTCACTGACATAAAACAAACAAACAAAAAAAGTAATTAAGAAATATGTGGTTCTCTTGAGATCCGCATAGGTGGAGGGCAATTCTACAGTGGCTAAATAAAGTGGATTATTTATAATGTCTTGGAAACAACTTGAGTGTATTTTATCTTCATAGAAGTAGGTTTGGCACCCCCAAATAATATTGATTGACAGGTCTTAATTTAATGAATTGCTTTATCTTGAAACTTACATATGGAATTCCAAAGAGATTAAATTCTAGCATTCCAATGATTGACATATGCATATCTTTCCAACGTGAAAAGTTATCACCCAGCCAATGGCCAGTGTATTTCCCACTCCCAACAAATGTTGAACGACTCAAAACAAATGCTCGCTTTCCTGTAGCATTCTGAGAAGCACTGGAGAAAACAAAAGAAAACCTTCCTCAGTGTTATTCTAAAAAGATCCTTCCCCACCCCCAC